GAAAACTGTGTTCGGCCACCTTGGTTATTTTTAGAAATGGCACGTGGATGTTATTCGCGCGATACGTGGTTGTTCTCGTGGAGACGACAGGAAAACAACAAAAGCGGACCGTGCGTCCTCGATAGTTTCAAACGCACAGTCGAATAACAGTAGGAAAAAGAGCCCAAATTCGTTATGTGGAGGTAGTTCTAGCGAGTACGACGAATTTTCCAAAGGTGAGAATTTGTGAGGTTTCGTCCGATTATAATTTAAAGACAGCCCACGCTAAAGTTTACCTTGAGGCCGGCAGAAATTCAATTCTTGTTTTGCTTGTCGTTAAATCTACTGGCCAAAGAAATTCCCCGACAGGATCACCGCTTGGGATTGTCGCTTGCGCAGCAAAACCTGCTTACAAAGGACACAAGAATGTTAGCTATGAAGATGGACGACAAAAGTTTGCTTCCTTTGGAGTTCAAAGAACATCTCGATGATTGAGGATTATACTTTTGAAAGAAGATTTTACATACTTAGTGCAATTTGCTGATAACTGCACTCGACGATTGACCACCGAAGAAACATTTCGAAGAAATCCTTTTTCATCTCTAAAATGCATCTTTTCAAGCGTGAATGGAAACAGTGATATTTTCTCTCTGTTAGCATCTGCCCTTTAACTGCTGGTTTTTTGTTTTGTTTTTGTTTTTATCCATTTATATGCTCACTGTTGGTATCACCACCAAATCTGCCAAGGTTATAACAGTCTATTAGGAGTTAAAAGTAGTGGTTTCAGGTACTCCTTGGAATATTCTGATATCCAGCGACTGTTCGTACAGCACTCCTAGTGAGTGTTGATTTTCCCACCAGAACAGATCTCTCGTATATATCTTACAACAAACTATAAAACATTTTATGACATCTTGTAGACAGGACTTCTTTCTAACTGATCACGCCTGAGTTATGATTTCAATACTAGTTGTAGGAAATCAAAGCAACACACAGAAGCCCAAGGGCCACCAAACTGGATGCAGCTTATTGCTTGCTATTTCTATAAAGTGGTGAGTAATGAACGGAAATTGATCTAAGTTTATTTAGAAGGTCAGGATGGAATTAACATGTGACTGATAGCTGACAAATGATCAACTGAATTTCAATCGTTAGTTGAGAAATCACCAAAAACTAACAAATAACTTTAAAAGTGTGAGCGATGTAGGTGGAAAGTACAGTTGCTGCGTTTTGAGCGGGAAAACGATTAGAGCCGTGGTGGGCGGGGCACATAACGGCGGGAAACAACTGATAGCTGTGACTTGTGAGTTAAAGGACATTATGGCGGGAAAACACCATACCAACACATCGGTCAACACTGAGCGTTAAATCACATTCCTGATAACACAAACAAACGTCTCTTACAGGGAATCGAGTATAAAGAATGCTATACAATATTGTATGTATTTTAACTTGCAGGTTGTTCTTAATTTGCTGTTAGAGTACATAGAGCTCAGAGGTCTTCATGTAGTGGACTTCTTCCTTAATCTGGATAAAGACAACAGTGAGAAGATCTCAAGAGCGGAGTTTATAAATGGCGTCAAGAAAGCTGGCATTCCAGTGACAAAAAACAACTAATAAAGCTTGTCCGAATTCTTGACACAGACAAGACGGGAACATCGACTATGGAGAAATGATCGCCATTAAAAAGGACGAAGTGTTTGACTTTTATCACAAGAAGAAGATGTGCAAGAAGGACGACCCACAACTGCAGTCCTTTAAGAGCGCACAGCAAGAGAAGCCGTGACTAAATTTTTGTGTTGATGTAACTCTAATATTAACTTTTAGGTCACCTAGTCTAAAAAGATTGACCCTGATCCTCTACATGAAACATGTAGATAGGAGATATAAATACACGAAAATATCCGAGCAAGACCCTATTTTAATAAGTTTACAGTAGATGAATATGTGCAAGAAATTAGACCAAGTCTGTTATCGTTTTTTTTCCTAGCGGTTTGGTTATACCTGAAGAGTTAAACCATTTGTCGATGATTAATCACGTGGCGCTAAGCTGGGCATTAGAACCCCTACCTGTGCTACTCTTCCAGTGAGTAATAGTAATAATGGAAGCATGAAACACATATTAGAGGCTAAGAGGATTGTAAAACATCCCCCGTAGTGCTTGTTTGAAGTTAATCTCTAATGGATAGCTTGAATTAATTCGAAGTTTTTGTCTTTTTCTGCCGAATAATTTCCACTAAATGTGCTTGATTTGGCTATTGCAGTAAATGACCACGTAAAAGTTGGGTATTGGACCCTTTTAGTGGTCATGGAAAGAACATCTCAGAAGCAAAAGAAAAAAAAAAAACAAACAAAAAACCAGTCCTCTAAGATTGGTTGAATTGTTAAGAAATCTAGAAAAAATCATATATTTACCTACGTTGGATTTCATACAGTGCATTGTCTTTTACGTTTTTATTTAGTTACTTCAAGGACCACAGTCAATCATCACGCATTGCGGGCAGGTACTTCGTCCGCGGCATTTTCTGTAATACAGAAATTACGTATCTCCCGAACGCAATCGTTTTTCTAATTATATACTTGAGCGAAACCCGTTCCTTACTCAATACTTGATTAAGAAGACACTTACTTTACCTCACTTAGGTACTTACAATACTTTTTTTTCACTTGCAATTCACCACATTTGTTGCTTAAATACATTTCTTTATAACTTACTTTACATTACCCAATTTCTATTATACTAATGAACCATTTTATTCACTTGAATATGGGTAACTTGACAAATCTCTGATTTTACACTCTGAAACTTATCTGAGACAATGAGAGTTTTCTTAGCTCATAATAAAGCCATAGCTTGTGATTTTGTCGAACCCTTCTCTCTTCATCTGCCTTATGAGAATTACAACTTACTCCTCTATCGTTAACGTGGTTACTCCGATCCCTGTCTCATTAGCTGTTGCGGCTTTCTCTGCCCGTACGTCTTCCCAAACTTCTTGGTGCTCCCATTGTTTTTTCTTCTTCTCTCGATCAAGATCGATGTCGAAAAATTTTCAAGATCTCATAAGTAAAAATGAGTTTGAATTATTTCTGTGATCAAATAGATTTACGGGGGCAGGGAGATTTCACCGAGGTCTAATGCGTACTCGTGAAGGACCACTCATAATAACGCTACACCTTTCCTACTTTGAAAGCTAGTCGATATACATAAAGAAAAATGTGTTGTTTGTTTTGAGGTTGTGGTTTCAAATAACACCATGGTGTAGTATCATCTTTTGAGTTTTCATGTCACATCAGTGTTACTTCGTTTCTCCTCTTTTGCCCTCTACACTGTCTTTTGCACTTAGTAACCGTTTGCGCACGACTTGAAAAAGTGCAGTTTCCTTCACACTGGCGCGAGGGTTCCCTTCGGAGGACTACTTCTTTTAATGCATGTCGGAAATCTTTCTTTGCCAATGTGCACAGGACTGGGTTTAACAGCGGAGGAAGGAAACCGAGAAATACTAGTAGACGCTCTATCGACACTGGCAGAAGAGAAAACGGTGATGATTCCATGTGTGCATCAAGTACCATCAAGAAAAATGGCAACCAGCAGCCGGCAAAAATCACCATTGTGATCAGCAAAACGCTGCGTCCTCGCCACTCTTGAAGTAATGATCGACAGCTGGGCTGCTGAAGATTCTTGTTCAATTGACGATCAGTTTTGTTGCGTTTAAACGAAATGTAGAATATGTGTCCATAAATATAACACATAAACAACAAAGGAACTGCAAAGAACAGCGCGATACAAGCTAGGCTGTACTTTATATCAATATCTTGTGTTCTACTTTCAAATTCAGTTAGCGCGGCTTCGTCGAGATTGTGCCAAGACAGTTGAATAACAGAAGCTAGAAATGACAACAGCCAAATGGAAAAAATGGAAGCGATAGCTCGCCATTTTGTTACAATAGAATGATATTTCATGTCGTGAACTATAAACATGTAGCGATCAGAAGCGATGAGCAGAACATGGCAGACTGAAGAGATGGCGGTGAATCGAATAAAAATTGTGGAGGAGACGCACACCATAATTATGTCTTTCACCAAACAGATGGCAAGAAGAGGAATTCCCACCAGACCTGACATGAGATCTGAAATCGCCAATGAAGTAAGAAACATATTTGTAAGCGTTCTCAGTATTTTCCTTTGGCAGGTCAAGAAGATGACGAAGCCATTGACTGCAACAATCAGCAAACACATGAAGAACAGAAGAACAATCAATGGCGGAGGAAGAAGCGTGTCTTCGTTTCCAGCTTCAGTTTCATTGCTTGACCTATTGTTTTTCACACAGCTTGTGTTGCAGGTGCTAAGCCATGCCATAAAGTGAGGCATGTTTGTAGAGAATCAACCAGAAAATATACTGGATATAAATTTGAAACGAAGGCCGAAGTTTCTGAAAATAATTAAACAAAAGCACTCTTCAAAGTGTGCAATCTAAACACTGAATATATTAAGACAATTTTTTTTTTGCATGATGTTTTGAGATACAAACAACACGTTTTCGTAAATAACAGCCTCGGGCCTCTTTGATAAATAAAGGCAATCTCGTATCCTATATACGATGGGAGCCGTCAGTTAAAATTTATTACTAATAGCGTTTCACAATAATGAAACGCAAAGAAAAGACGGAAGTGTAGAATGATCTTTTAACCAGCACAATCGTGAAAAACATGCTTCTCTTGAATTATATCAAGCTAGGTGAATTGCATTAAGTTTGTAGGCGCCATCTCAAGCAAGCTGTACTATCTAAGTAATAAAGATTTCAATTGAGATTCGAATAACGGATTTTGGGAACAGGAATCATTGCGATAAACTTGATAACGTGGGCATAATATTTCTACTAACAGTATAATTCTACGCATTTATTGTGCAAATTACAGCCATGGTTGTGAATGTAGAAGCTTAGACCGTTCAGCATTTTCTTCTAAAGTACAAAGCAACCTGAATGGAAACAGAAAATTGAAACATGGATAAGAGGCTTCAGTTGCGACATAATATGCCCCACTGCAATATAATTATATTAAGTTGAAAGTTCTAGCTTCGGTGCCATCATCTCAGTTATCTTTAAGAGTAAATACAGGGACAAGCCTTTTCTATGTGGATGGACTTCAAGCGGATATCCTTTTAATTTGCATCCTTGAATTGACACTTGTAACAAAAGACAATTTCATTCGCTTTATTGTGAGTTTCCTTGCCACAGCATAACTTTATAGGCATTGCCGTGCGACCGGTACCCCTGAGGAATCGTGACTGATTTTGTTTTGACTACGAGGAAGAACAACGAAGATGGAAATATCACTATTGATGGTTTTGCCGGCAATTTGTCTGGGATTGGCTGGCCAGTAAAAATGGGATTTTCACCGTAATGAAAGCTAATGCAGTACAAACAGATGAAAACTATTACGTAAATATTGGTCACGATATCGATATGGGCCTCATTTCTTGTTTTTTTCACAAGTTCATGTGGTACCTTTTTTTCCGTTTGTGGCTTTCGTGGCGGCTCGCAGGAGACGGTGGTCAGGCCACCGATCATGCAAAATGGAGCACCTGTCCAAGCAGGGTTAAATTCTTGGAGGTTGCGCACTTCGGCTTTTTTAACATTTCACGTGTGGATATTCCCAGCCGCAATGGGAAGCTTAAGAGGATGCATGGCACGATTCACTGCTTCGATATCCACAATAATTGACGCACCTAGTAGCAAAAACCTTTAAGTGATTTTTCTTTTACTATGAGGTGATCGGGGACACCCGTGATGATCCTCTAAGATAAAGCGAAACGCCTGACTCGCACCAATATAGGTCACGGTCTAAATTATTCTAAAAGGACTGGTAATGGGACCTCCAAGTGCACTTCGCTTAATGTGGAATAACGCCCACAGTGTCATGATCAGACGCAGGAAAGCCTTTTTTGTCAACGACGACAAATCATCATCATCATCATCATCAGTCCTCGTCGCGCCATCGGACGCGACAAATCGTATGTGTAAAAAATTCCAGATTGATATGTTTTCGGAGTGCCTAGCACTAGTACCGCCTTAACTATGCTTTACCATACTGACCGCTGCGCTCCGTCCGTACTGCCATTACCTCGGGCCAATATTGCCCAGTGCGGCCCTTGCGCTTGGTTAGTAAGAGGTTAATCTGTTCAAGTCTTAATGTTCAGAGAAGACAGATGGGTCACAGGGCTTAAGTGCAGTTTCTGTAGCCTGAAGCGATCAGCAGTATTGCTCATCCTCTAGGTTAGATGCTTATCCATCACAGTTTACATCCCTTCATCTGTCTGGTTCCTGTGACTGTTCACCGGTACCCATTTATACACCAGGGTAGAAAGGCTCACAGTCAAAGTAAGGTGTCTAATAAACCCAACCAGCGTCATGATTCCCGATCCAGAGTTCTATCACTATAATAATTAGTCTATCGCATCTCCCGAAGAAAATGGCGCAGAAAAATGACATCCAAGCAAATCGTTATCACACTGCTTTTCTATTTCATGCAATCTACATGTACAACAGCAACTCGTCGTCATTGTATACAGCTTTTTTTTGCTTGTGGTTGACGTAATCGTGCAATGACGTGTGGGGGTCACCAAGAGCTAGATCTTATGGCGATCACTCACTCCATTCTACAAAACAATTAATTTATGCATTAAACCTTGATTAAACTCGTGTTTTCTCCTGCCTCACCTTCTGATGTTCTTTCAATTGGAAATTTGCCCAACGGCATGGAGAGAACCAAACTGGCATCTGTGGTGTCGGCCCGTCGATCAACTTATCAAGAAGGTTTTCGTTCATTTTGTTCCATCCTCGATTGAAATACACCTTTGTAGAGCTCAAAAAAGCAAAGGAAAAGCGCTACAGACGACTCGACTGCAAAGAAATTGACTTCAAAGTCTTAAAAGCCTTGATGACAATATAGTCATTTGGAAGATGAAGAATCGATCAGCCACAGTATATAGTCTACGGATCCACAGCTACTTTGACAATGTTATGACTAAATAGACAGGGTAGACTATAACAGCGGATTCAAGTATCTGATGGAGTGTTTATCGTGTTTCACAGTGTTGCATTTAGGATATCTAAGTCTAAATTACAGAGGTTGTAAGGCCTTAGGGATGATGCTCCAGTTTCCTTCTATCAGAAGTCTTGGCAAAGTGCCTTACCTTAATTGAAAATGCTTTTAAATGATAACTTTGAACACAGGATAAATCATGAAAAACTGACATTGTCATGTCTGCATGGTATTTATGTAAAGCACACTCACAAACCCGCACATTAATTATAAATAGTAGACTTACATGCAATTTAATTAGAAATTAAAGAAGATCGTATAGCATTACTTCATGAAGCAGCAAAAAAAAAAAAAAAAAAAAAAAAAAAAAA